CGAGTGTTACTTCTTCTCTCCCAGCTCAACACTGACTGAGCTGTCTGATATTTTCCCCTCTGTATAATATAAGTCATTAGCACAGCATTTTAAAGTAATAATTTCCTTATGTCTTCTTCTTCTAGATAAACTTTGTTTTCCTCTTCAATATAGTTCGAATTCTTATGACCAAACTAAGAGCTTCAACCACATCAGAAACAATACAGTACAGGTGAGTTGATTCTGTTGGTAACTGCATATAAATTTAGGAGCAGTACACTTTGTCTTCCTTCTTTCAAGGACATTAAGGAGTGTTTCAGAAGAAGTACATTTTTAGAGTGATTAGACTCATTTAAACCTTTATCATCAGCATCAGACCTCATTTCATACAAATCTAAGAGCGTTAATATCCTATCAGTGAACAGATGTTTGGTGATCAAAGGGTCCGGTGTTAATGATAATTAAATCAAACTGCTATTAAGGAAGAAATCTGTTATTGTGGTTGTGACTTTTGCCTTATGACTTTAAGGCTAAGTATTGGAAATTTTGTGGGAAAAGAAACTAACTTCACTAAAAAACTGTGCTGTGATTTGGTGTCTTGTGAAATTTGGATGGTAGAGTCATAGACCACATGAAAGCATCCATCCAACCTTGTATGAATGGTTCAGGCTTTTGGTGGTGCTGTGATGGTGTATGGGGGATATTTTCTTGACATACACTGGGCCCTGTTGTACTACATGATCATCATTTAAACACTGACCACCTCCATCCCTTCATGACTACAGTGTACCCATCATCTGACGGCACAAAGCTCAAATCATCTCCAAGTGGTTTCTTCGACATGACAATAAATTCACTTCGCAAATGCCAAATGTCGCCACATGTCAATTCAACAGTGCACCTTTCGGATCTGGTGAATGGGAGGTTCACATCATGAATGTGCAGCTGACAAATCTACAGCAACTGCGAGATGCCGTCATGTTAAAACGGATCAAAGTCTCTGAGGAATGTTTGAGGAACCTTATTCAAACTATGCCACAAAGGATTAATGCAGTTCTAAAGGCAAACAGGGGTCCAACACAGGTCTAACCTGGTAACCAGTGTGCTTAATAAAGTATATAATAATAATAATAATATAAGCCTGAAACAAAATAAGTATATTGTCTTGTCTTGTAACTTATTACAGGACACTGCAAAAGTACTACAAATGTGCTTCTTACCCATAAAATAAAGATTCAAGACAAACGCCTCAACCTTAGTGAACTCAGTTGCAATACTTCATGCAAGAAGTTCTTTCATTTACACGCACTAGTAACAGTTAAAGGGGAAAAACCTTGGGTTTGTCCGATTCTGTGTGCCTGAGAAGAGAGCAGAGATTTAGCGTGCGCTTGAGAGGCACGAGCTGAGTGCATGCCTGAATTATGCTGTTAGGTTGTAGATCTGGAATGGCTGAAATTGCTAAAAGAGTGAGCTTGTTTTCCTACCTGCTGTTACTGTGTCAAGTGTGTTTTTCTCCAGTGGGGATTATTTCAAGCGCACAGTGTTTTCTCAGTGTCACGGCTCAGACAATCTGAGTGTAGTCTTTTCAGGCTGGGGCTGGATTGCTGGTGGTTGTTGTGAGCCATACAAATTTAAGCAAATGAAGCACAGGAGTTTCAAGCTGAACTTCTTGACCTTAAAAAAACCGATTGTTTTAAAATGAAAATTATAATCAGTAAGGGCAAAGAAAGGTTTGTGGTCATCCCTAAATTATGGGACTGTCATAGCTCATATTAAAAGTCCCCACCATGGTCTTTTCTGTTATTCCTTGAATTAGGTTTGGCTGTTGCCCTTATGATCTTGAATCTTTTTCTCACGTGAGTGCTTTCAGAGTTTTCCCTGTCTGAGCCTGTGTGTATTTTGTTCTGCAAGTATTGGTTTTTTTTGTCCTTCTTTCTTTTACTTGCCCTTTTGTTTTCCTCATGTGGCTTTATGTGTTTTCACTTTCTTTTTCCACCCTGATTTGATTGATTTCTCCTGTGTCTTATTATCCCTCTCCCTAGTCCGTATAGGCGTTGTTACATCTCTCGCCTGTTCTCGAGACTCCCTTGTTTTCTGCTGCCTCCCTGTGTTTTGGATTGCTCCTGTTGGGTTTTAGATTCCATGGATTTGGATTCATTTGAGTTTTTCCATCACACTTCACACTGCTTTTGGTTGTCTATGAGTTCTAGATTAAGGTTTCTAGTTTATCCATCCACTTGCCAGTGCCTGCTGTGTCTGCTTATTGGATCCTCTTGTGAACATTTCAAAGTATGGGACAGTTTGAGCTTTATTTTGAAAAACAAATTCAGAGAGCCGAAGCAAAATTGGCTTGGACGTGCTCAGAGGAGGCGTAGTGGACATGTTGGACATGTGACAGGACCACAGAGGAGGTTTATGGATGCAGTGGAGGAGGACATAAATCATCCACATTTTCATCTATAGATGTGATGGCTTATTGTTGCATTGCAAAACCAAGAAAGCTAAACTTTGCTCTTATTCACACTGTCAAAATTATTACAGAAGAGCTAGAATTATATGTGACATACATATTTTTGCTACCCCTGAAAAGGGGCCCATCTTCTAATCTGAAACATCCATGTGGTGGAGGGTGACATTTTTATTTTTATCCCTGTCTGCCGCTGACACAGAGTCATGCATTTTCCAGAATCCACTGGGCTGACATTCAAGGCTCAATTTTTGCAATTCTATAAATGAGACTCCAACTCTGTCTTCACAGAAAAGCCGTGAAAGCAACACTAGTCTTGCTACCTCTGCTCGGCATCACCTACATGCTCTTCTTTGTGAATCCGGGGGAGGATGACATCTCGCAAATTGTGTTCATCTATTTCAACTCCTTTCTACAGTCTTTTCAGGTGAGATTATGATTAATAATACAGTGTGACAGTGGCCAGAGTTTGAAAGCTCACACTCACTGCCCACAAAGCTAAAAATATGAATCATTCTGATTTCTTAATGTGTTTTTATCTCAGAGTTGTATCGCTACTTTAAAGAGCGACTTTTCAGGTTCTAAGGCTTCTTGTGGGAAGATGATTTGAAGTAGCATCCTGGCTGCGCTTACACACAACATGGCCCTCCTACCTCATGTTCAGTGCTCTCAGCTGTCAGGAATAACAGAGCCATGTGGGCATGATTTCTGCTCTGTGGCTATTATGTATTTATTTATTTATAGGGGGAGGGGGAGGGGGGGGTTCGAGTAGAGCTTTAAAAATTCTATATTTTGCTTTGGAAATTTGTTTTGCCTTTTCTTTATAATGATTGCGTCTAATTACAGTGCCATTACATAATACAGGCACATTTTCTGCTTCTAATTCTAATGTGTCTTATTTTGCAGGGGTTCTTTGTGTCAGTGTTTTACTGCTTTCTAAACGGAGAGGTGAGTCACTGGAGTTTAGCAAAACGCCCGTTATTTATGATGTTAATTTTACTGTCAATGTCTTTGGGTTTTTTTCTTTGATACACAAGCTTAATAAAACCATAAATTGATAGCCTTAATTCGTTTTAATATTGTTTTTCTAACTTGCCTCCAAGTTAACATTTTTATGTTCAACCAGGGGGAGGATCAAGTAGCTGTAATAGAAAAGAAAATGCCAAAGAGTTTCCGTGCAGTCAGTGAAATAACAGCATAGAAAACTTTTATGAGGCTGTCTCATTTTTGCCTGATTGAAATAAAAGCAAATTACCAAAACTCCAGCTGGTTGAAAGTCATTAACGCCATTATGATTACACATAAATTGTGATAAATTGTGATAGAAAAAAAATGAAGGACTCTCTTGCTGCGCGCTCTCATCCCTAAAATTATTGAAACTCGGGGGTAAAGAGTTTGTTAATTTAATGACGTGATGTGAAGAAATTGAGTCATCCTATTTGAACAGATATTAATTGCAATTTAAGACTCTGAGTGGCAAACAACAAAACGAAAAAAGCAATTGTGTGACTTTAGGCCACATTACAAACGACTGCTGTAAAGCGGTCCTTATTTAAAAAATGAAAAATTAGGAGGCTTGACTTAACTATTGCTATTTATTATATGATTTTGCTAGTATAGTGCATAAAAACCACCCAGCTCTGTCACAGCTTGTTGTTTTCCGATTTTGGTTTTTGTCCATATGGACATTCTGGCTTCCTGTCTTTGTCTGGCTTTAGTATCATTTTTAGAAAAAGAAATAGTGCATAAATATGTAGAACACTTTTCAAACCACAGCTACAAAATGCTCCACTAATATAAAACAAAATACAAAATGACAAATACCACAAATATAGAAATGTCATCAAAACTTACGCTCCCTTTTTATGTGAGCTGTCAGGGTGGGTGTGACACTTTAATATAACCCCTGATTTGGCTTCATTAGTTGGAAGGAAATTTGGAGCTATCCAGCTTTTTATTGCCGAAAGACGGACAGGGATCTGAGAATTGTCAGTATAGTTTATATATCATCTGACATAAATAGAGCTTAACACAAGTAGAATCAAGACTAATGAGAGACTAATAGATCTATTTGCAGGACTCAAACTGAAATTGATTCAATTGGCTACTGACGTGGTTCATAAGACAAAAATATCCAGTACCAGGGGATCCAATTATTAATTTCTTCTGCAGTGGTCAAAGTCAAACCGTGTTATGTTTACTACTGTCAGTTATCTAGACACAGAACAAGTGTTAATTGAAAGAATTTGTGTCAAAACATCCTTTTTCTGTCATAACGCTGTGTGAGGCAGGCAGGAATAGGACCCAAAAACGCAGAACACACATGCAGGGCTGAACTCACTTTACTGCTGGATTCAGAAACTAAGCTAACTGAAAAACTAAACAAAACAAAACTGGAATGACACTAAGAAACTAAACAGCCAGAATACACAGCCAGAGGAATGAGGGAGATCAAGAAGAGGCCGGAGGAGACACAGGCATATACACACCAGGATTAAGGGCAGAGAGGAAACACCTGGGAAACACGGCTGCACATAATCTAACTGACGAGACAACAGTGGCGTGTCTAGAAAATTTTTGTTGGGGGGGCCAGGTAGGGGCACAGATTTGGAGAAGGGTAGCAGATTTAATTGGCAGATAATGTTTAAAAAAAAATTCTACCAACCATTAACCATAATTCAATAATCCTATAAACCTAATAACCAAATGCACTTTTAACTCTTATTAGAATGAGATTTTAACCACTACGGTGCAAAGTTTTTAGATACTGCGTTGATAAAGTACAAGAGATACAATCAGTGCTTTGTCAGTGTTTACTCAGCATTCAAGGACAGCAATATTTGCATAGTATTTTTACTGACATATACTGCACATATGTTTTGGGCAAAAACATTTTTGAATATTAAAATACGAACATTTGTAGCAAACAATTGACAAATTAGCCAGTTCCAATGTAAAACTTTCTCTGCCTGTTAAAAAAAGAAGATAATCTTCTCACAAACTGGTGTTTGATTTTGAAACAGGAAAAAAGTGGAGAAACAACTGAAAAGACTAATATTTGAATAAAACTTTCTATGCTGCCTTATGGTAAACTTTGGTAATATTGATAAAGAACAACACTGGCTGATGATGAAATACATTCAGCTGGCATGGTGACACTGCCAGTATAATCTGCAGGGCTGGACTGGGACAGAAAATCGGGCATTTTGACTACAGACCGACCCACCAGGTATTAAAGCCATAAAGACTTTGAATGAAAACAAACCCTGTTGTGACAGTGATGTACAGTCTTTTTGGTATATGTATGATTTCTATACATTTTACGTCAGATAAAAACTTTGGTTGTAAGATTTAGATAATTATTTAATAAAAGCTAGATATTTTAAATGAGAATAAGAAAGAAAAGTATTTCTTTGTGCCCCCTTTCCCTGTTAATGCCCTACCTGGCCCCCTGGCAAAACTTTGCTAGACCCGCCCCTGCACAGTTACCAGCTGTCAGCTACATAAAAAAGGATCCTGGTGGGTGGTCTTCACGTTTCCCTCTCACCAGATATCCAAACCGACATCATGACCAGCAGCTTTACAGCTGTGGCTCCAGCAAACATCAGCTGATACTAGAAATTAATATTAAATAAATTCTAACAACAGCCGATCAAGCTTAAACGTGCTGCTGTTGTTTAGCGCAACATCTGCTGGTTTCGTCTTTCTGGCGCAAAGTGGGCGATAAACAAACAAGAGAGAAAAGCCGATCAGCTGATCATCGATCAGTTTCATGATTGAAGTAGCAACAGGAGAGGCAGGATGAGAGAAGAGGCAGCTGTGCAGCGTAAAGACAGAATAAATCCAGCTTTGTGTCTTTTTCCATTCTAGCTGAAGTTTGGGACAAACTGCGTCTCTTCTCAGCTCAATACGAAACGCATAATATTTTCTCTGAATGAGGGACCATTCCATTTTTTTAAGGAGCCGTTGGCAACTCTACTAACTAACCTTATGAATAAAATAAAGTTCACTATCAGTAACATCATAGCAACCGAACAGCTGTATAAAAACTCCAAGCTGGCTAGAACGCAGTATGAGTTATTGCAACTGACAGTAAAAAGTCAGCACAATGAAAATAAACTCCACCTAAACTTAGTTTATATCTGACCCAGATAGACTGCAGGTCATAACTTCTTACCTGAAGTTCAGTTCACCTGACACTCGGACTGGCGGCTGCCTCGGGGCTCTCCTCCTGCCTCCCCTTCCCTCATCCACCTGTTGCCTCTGTGGAAGCCCCGCCATAGCCACCACCAAACAACGGAGTTATTTCTACACATCGACCTGCATCTGGCCAATCCACCACCTCTCATTGTTCATGCCATTACAAAAAAAAATTAAAAATAAGTCAAATAAGCCCGATGGCCAGTCCAGCTATGTTAACCTGCAACCAAATCTGCAGCTCCATACAGCAATGTTACGACTTAGATTACATCTTATAACTCATAACTCTTATGTTAGCTCCCCTCTGTAGCATACTGTCTGAAATATTCCACGGCTGCAATTATTCTTTAAGTGTTATTTTTTCCTTGGTATTCTAATTTCACCGAAGTTTACTAAACTCAACAAACTTAATATTACTTACCGGGACATTTATTCTGTCCTCATTTTCTTTCACCGAAAAATTGTTTCCTGCAGTGCTGTCTTTTGTGCTTGGCTCTCCTACCTTTGCTAACGTGATGCACATAGCGCAGAAGCCGATGCTGCATTCACTTACACTCGGATATCTGAGCTTCACCGTGAAAACATAATCGGACATTTGATATTTGATTGAATTTTATTGTTTTGCCTTTGGGGTGGCACCTGGGGTGGTCAGTCTGGTTGGGGGGGTGGCCTGTGCCCCCCCAGGCCACCCCGCTGGACACGCCATTGCGAGACAAGGGAACCAAAACTGCACAAGATCCACACAGGACAAGAGACTGTCAGAATAAAACAAGAAACATGCACTGAGCCGCAGACTGACTGAATACAGGGAACAGAGGGAGGAGAAAGAGACGAGTAGGTAGACACAGACAGGGGGCAAGAGAGTGAGAGCAACCAGTCAGACACACAGAGACATGACTGGGAAACAGGCGAATAAACAGGGAGACAAGAGAGACTTCACAGGGAGGCACAAATAACTAACACAGGAGATTCTGGGGAGGATGCACACAGACCGAGACAAACGGGACACGAAAGGGAACAAAACTTGATGTACGAAGAAATAACCCCAGGGCTCTCAAACTGAACATAATAATCACAAATACTCCATGAAGAAAGAACAAGAGCAAACAATGCAAAACAAAATGCCTCATGAAGCCAAACAAACTCAAAACACTAGGTCAACGACCCAGGTCCATGACAGTTTCAGATACTGGGTCAATTATAGACCGGCAAGCCATTGAAATCAAATGAAACATTACGTCCTTCAAGTCTAAAGGATGCATTTATTTATATAGTGAGGCATAGTGTTAGCATGTTTAGTAGGAAATTTGAAGCGTTGACTTAAGTCAGTGGTGTCCAACTCCAGGCCTGAAGGGACGATGTCCTGCAGGTTTTAGATGTGTCCTTGATCCAACACAGCAGATTTAAATGGCTAAATGACCTCCTCAACATGTCTTGAAGTTCTCCAGAGGCCTGGGAATGAACTAATCATTTGATTCAGGTGTTTTGACCCAGGGTGAGATCTAAAACCTGCAGGACACCGGCCCTTCAGGCCTGGAGTTGGACACCCCTGACTTAAAGGTATACTGATTGAGTTGATTATCTTGAGTTGAGGTAACGTGGTTGTAATTTTGTAGCAAGGATTTTGCTTTTTGAGACTTTTGGATTAATATTGATGTTATCTGGAATTGTTGAGGCTCTTTAGTCAAAGATCTTGAATTGATCAAAGCAAACAGAAACACTGAGGCATATGCATCATTGTGATGGAAAGAAAGATTCCTGAATAAAACTCTGTTGGAGGATTTCATAATGAGAGGGACCGCATTTTCCGCTCTTAACCCAAATGAATCAATCAGATGCTTTCTGGCAGCCAAACCATGAAACACTTGAGGGAAGATGAACAACTTTAATAATTGACTGACACTTTTCGGCTTGTGGCCTTCATCAGGGCCTTCATCAGGCCACATCTTCCCTCAAGTGTTGCTGGAGTTCCTGCATTGTGAATTCTTTCATCCTCTCCATGCACCTTGGAAGTAGGTGAAGTTGTGCCAGAAATTTTTGCAGCCAAACCATGAAACAAATTAGTAAGTCATGTTGTTACAAGTGCACAGTCAAGTTTCAACATTTTGGGGATAGACATAAATATGCGTAGTGTTGTTTTTCTTAGTTTACTGTACCCATATTAATTAAACTGGCTTTTCTTCAGTGGTCTGGTGGAATGAGTCAGGAGGATTGTGTTGGGACTCTTGATTGAGCCGATAGTGAAGCCAAAATGCTGTGTAACTCTTCACAAGTGAAGTAGACGTATAACTTCTGAGAAAGAAACCTTTTTTTTCCAGGGCAAAGTTGCCAGGCCTTTTAAGCAGTTTCACTCAATGATTTGATGCATGCAATTTTTATGTTCTGGGGGACCATTGAAATTCCCATTCTTTTAAATGGGGTCTTTAAAATAAGTGCCCAAATAACTGCCTAAAAGTGTTAAGAAGATGTCAAGTCCTAGCAAGTGGCAGGACCTGCATCAAAAAACATTGACTGCAGTCATTAAAATTAATGTGAGTGTGGAAAACTTTGTACCTGACTTGGATTCAAAGGACTGAATACGGACACGGGGAGGTGGATGAGCAGCAGAGACAGAAATTAGGTTTTGTGGCCAAATATGCTGAAATCACCATTTATTTGATTTTAAAATATAACGCCAGATCATGGTGGAAGGTTGTGAAGGTGACTTTTATTAAGAATCACATTCAGAAATTTTTAATAAAAGAAAAACCTATAAATCGAGACAAAAGGACAACAGACGGGGAGTATAACGATTATGTCACGTTTGATCGTAATCGAGAGGAAACAGAAATTAAATCAGTATAATAATGGGGTTTAATTTATACATAAAGACACACATTGTGGGAACAGAGCCCTTTAAATTATTGGCAAAAAAGTTATATTTTTTTAATATAACATTTTTACCTGAATATTATTTTTCATTAGTTAGTTAATTAGTTAATGTGTTTACGGTCTCATAGTCTACCGTTAAAGTCATACATTTACAGTCATGAGAAAATCAGAGTTTTAACAGGACTCATTATAATCTTGTTAAAAACTTAGCACACCCTTACTGCTTCCACAGGAATGCAGTGGGTATTGTAAGTAGCAGCCAGGTGCTGCTAATCAAATGCACTCGATCAGCTGCTCATCAACAAGTGTGACAACCTCTTTGGTGACAGAAACAGCAAAAAATCCAAGAACCACATCGCAGACTCTACAGGATTTAGTTAGCATGTTAAGTGTTAAAGTTCATGAAAGTATAATTAGAAGAAAAACGAGCAAGCACGGTTTGTTTAAAAGGGTTGTCAGGAGAAAGCATCTCCAAAATCACATGGCAGGAACGCTTAGGTTTGCAAAGTTGCAACTGAACAAACCACAAAACGTCTGGAACAATGTCCTTTGGACATGTGAGGCCAAAGTAGGGATGTTTTGCCATAAAGCACAGTACCATGTGTGGAGGAACCCAAACACAGCAAATCAGCACAAACACCTGAGACCAACTGTCAGCACCGTGTTGGAGGGCTGATGATTTCGGCTGTTTTTTGCTGTTACAGGACCTGGGTACCTTGCGGTCACTGAGTCGACCACAAACTCCTCTGTATACCAAAGTACTCTTTCAAATGTGAAGCCATTTGTCCAATAGCTAAATCAGCAGCAAATCTATAACAGAATCTGAAAAAGAAAAGAGTCAAAGTGTTATAATGCCAAAGTCAAGACCTAAACGTGACTGAAATGATGGAGCAGGACCTTAAGAGAGCTGTGCATAAACAAATGCCTACAAACCTCAATGAACTGAAGTGTTGTAAAGAAGTGTGGGTTCTTCCAGAGACTGGAAGTCATACAGAAAACAATACTTCAAGTTAAGGAGCGCTAAAGGTGCTTTCTACAAGCTGAACTGAATAATGGAGTTTCACAGGACTGCACAGAATCTTCTAAAACAATTATTTATTCACATGGCTCTATCTTTACATTAAACAATTAAAATGACTTCCCAAAATGTTGTATAATATCTTAAAAAATAATTTGAAGTTTATTGTAATATTATTTTATTCTCTATATATCTTGTTATCGTTGTAGGTTCGCTCAGCAGTAAGAAAACGGTGGCACCGCTGGCAGGACAACCACGCTCTTCGAGTTCGAGTGGCACGAGCCATGTCTATCCCGACCTCTCCGACCAGGATCAGCTTCCACAGCATCAAACAGACCACAGCCGTGTGACCACAGAAACACACAATCTCCATACTGATTCCTCCAGCAAGGTCGCTGTTTGTCCGGTATGACTAAGGAGTCATGCGATTTATTTTGCCTGGTGACAAAAGTTCATTTTAACTGCACAAAAATGACATGAAGTTCTCGTTATAAGGTACCGTTCGGGACGTAGACGGGCTGGGTTTTTTCGAAACAACGAAATGGTTCAATGGTCACATTACATCAGGTTTGACCCTATAATTTTAGTGTTGTTACTGGTTATGAGTACTTGAAATTTGACTGACCATGACGCATTCATATGTTGCCAAAACTGCCATTTGTATCTATTATGATAAAAATGCTAAACTGCTCTTTGAATTACCTGCTCTTTATCAGCAGCTTAATTTGACAGAAAGAAGCTTTTTGGTAAGGAAGAAAACAGAAAACAGCACAGAGTAAAAACAAAATAATAAAAAATGAGTCATAACACTCTGAAGTGAAAACAATTTAACGTACAGTCATCAACTGCTTTTTTTAAACTAAAACACAATCTCAACACATGATGTTTTGGTTAATGTGAGATGTGGCTATTTTATACAAACAAGCCATTGTTAAGAAGCTTTTATAATGTGTCTTTTTTTAAAATCATTTTTCTTCTTTCTTTTTTACATCTTTCTTACTGTTGTAAACATTGGTAAATACTTTTTTCCCCTCTTTGTTCTGAGGATTTGATTTTACAACTATTTTTATTTCCTTTTGTTAGACTTGGTCTTATTTTTTTGTTGCTTTTTTTTTTTACTGTGCAAGGAAGGTGTTGACATAAAGAGCAATTTAACGTATTATGTGTTTGAACTCCCCGAGAGCGATAAATGAGCGTTCCCAACTTAGAGTTCTCTTGCAGACGAGGAAAGGTATGATTATATATACATTATTTTATGGAGCCAAGTGATTCTCATTTATGTAATCTGTTAAGTGCTGCGCATGGATTTGTCATGCAGGCACAGTGGAAGCAGATTAAATTCTTTTGGCTTTACGAAATCCTTGTGGCTTCCTTATAATCAGTGTCACATACTAAGCTTCTGGGTCAAAGGAAGAGGAGCTTGACAATATGAGGACCGATCCTTTTCCTAAACCCTTGCTCTGGTGAGATCAACCTTCTGCTTGCCTGTAACCCCGGCTCTTACACCTCCTAAGGCTGCTCACCCAATAGTAATTTAAACAGCCATGTATGGACAGATAATAATAAGGGAGGAAACGTTTGTTATAAAAAGGTTTATCGATCAATTACAGCAAGCTTACATTTTGATGCACATATTCCCTTCTGTGTTGATAGATTAGCTACACATCTGTTAAATAAAAACTGTCTGATATTTGATGGGTGGCAAAATCAGCACCCCTCATTTCTGTTTGATGTGTGTTTTGTGTGGATTTAACAATAACGCTTAATACTGTGATACTCCAGAGGGGTCATTAAGAAGATTTTGCAAGCTTCGGACAGAAAGTGAATGACCTTCCCATGTTTTATTTATTTATTACGTTTATGTATTTATTTCAGATTATATTTGCATTGATATCGGGGTTTGTATTTAAAAGTGTCACATAAAACATCCAGAATTTATTTCAAAAACTGAACCCATGTGAAGATGGTGTATATAACACAAAATATTTAATCACATCTTGATGTAAAAAAAGTATTTTGTAAACTTTTGCTACATTACAACATCTGTTTCTGTTGATCTTAGTTCATTTTTGCTGTTGCTGCTTGATGACGCTTGATGTTAGCTGGTAAATACTGATCACCTCTCATTATTTACCCATTAATATATAACTCTGATCAAGGGCGTCATAAGTTAGCCATGACATTGCGCATCCTCCCAAGACTTCAATATGTTACATACATACAAAGTGTACCACATTACATTACAACTGTGACGTATTTTCATAAAGAAACTTTTTTTAAACAAATGTGAATAAAATATAAATAAAACTATATTTTATTTGAACTCACCAAAGAGAGAAACCATGTTTACTGACATACTGACTTTTTAACTGCCTATGTATTTCTATTATTTCCACTGGACTTTGTCGACCAAATCTTGTTTATTTTGTACATTGTTTGTTGTACATGATGTGTATTCAGTGCTGTTTGATGTCAGACATAATTTTATAAAAACTCTTTGTTGAACAACCCAGGTTGCCTTATAAACAAAAGAAAAAAAAGTTTTGTGAAAATGAAGCCGTTGTCTCTGTAAATCATGTATCTTTGTGTTACTTGTATACACTTGGACTGTATGTGTGAAAAAATGATTTTGATTAAAATTTTACTTTAAATTATATAACACACTATATATTTTGGAGGGGGGCATTTCAGTGCATTGGGTCCATACAGTTTGAAAATCTTACAAAAGTCACAGATTGCACTAATAGAATCTGTTCAGCTGATTCATTTGCTGTGTATCTCCCTCACCTCCAGGCACTTTATAAAATAAATACAGCAGTTTTATAATGATCCAATCTCATACTTATTTTTCTGATAGACTGAACGACTGCTGCTTCACTGGCATTTCCTGATCTGAAATTGTAGTTTTTACTCACAGAATGGAAGACACACTCAGAGAGCACTTGCTAGACACTGTTTCATACACTCCAGGCTTGACTGGAGTGAAATGGAGCAGAAACTACAGCCTATCCCCAGAACCCTCAGGATTTGAGTTATACATCCCCAAACAATCGGCCGGGACTCTGATGTAGCCCAATCAAGCCTTATTGTGACAATTAATGTTTCTAATGGTTTCCAGCATTGCAAAAGATAGACAATGCTATCAGATTCTTCAGTATCATGCCAGACGTGTGCAGCACATTTGCACAGCATCATGGATTATTTGCCCTGAACTTCCATGTGTCTGCATTAAACTGCATTCCACATTGCATCAACTAAAAATAAATAACCAGCATGACAACAAAAGGCTGCCACTAAGCCTCGAATTTCAAAATAAACCCATCTGTAATATAATATTTATATCTTAAGCTCAGATAAACTAATAAATGACCTTGCTTAATGAAGTATCTCCCATCACTTAATTATTGCTGCTTTAAGCCAAAACTCCTGCAAAGGTCACCCTGCTGATTTTATACATAAAGGTAAGTTAATAGCAATTCCCACAGGCAGCATCCTTCAGCCTGGCTGTAAAGGAACTTTATTAAGTTTGCGTTTTCAACTTCAGACTTCAAGACTACAAATTTCTAAAAGATGGTGTGCATCACATGTGCACATAGAGGGTGGAGTAAACCTTAAAAACACATTTACCAGCCTGGTGGGGCTAAGAAAACAATGTTTTTGGTGGTATTTGCCTTCAAGGTTTTCTGGCAGAGAAATTCTCGACATTGTAGCGAGAGGATATATTTTAATCCAATCCCTAATATTATTCTAAGCCTTACCAAGTAGTTTTGTTGCTTAAAAATAACCAACAGCACCTGGAAACTGAAAACATTACAAAAGAAATTAAAGCTCTCTGTCAATAAGCCGTAAAGGGAAGCTACTCCCACTGGCAGTTGCTCACATCTTCACCACTGGCAAAACAGTTCTTACTGGTTGACTTGAAATGAGTCAGAACCACTGTGCCAGCACATTAATGTCTTCAGCCACACCGGATTTATAGCTCTGCTTTAATGTTACTTTGTGATGATGGGCCTAATCAGCATTGAGTCAACTCAGTTAGCAAGGGGTTTAATGTAAATTATGCTCTCTGGCTTTAAAACTCTTGATCTTAAAAACGAATTTGACACAACAGAATAAGCATCTCTTTCTTTTTTTCTTCTCTGGAGAAGCACCATGCTTACAATTACACAGGTAACAGGCAATTCAAAGTAAACCAGGACTTTTTAAACATGAATACTTGATTTTTCCTTAAGGGTAAACCTTAAGGGTGAATGGCATTAAAATATATAAACTGTTTTCTTCCAGGAGTTTTGTTATTAAACGGAATTAATGTGGAAATTATTCCAATATGATGCTGCCAGTTTACTGCATTACTTAAACCATACAGTCAATATGTCCCAGCAACTATAAACTGGTGCCAGTCTAGCCGTCTGGTGGAAAATTGGCTGTGAACACATAATAGGTAAATATACTATATAGCCTGAAGCGGCTGGATGAGGAAAGCAGACTGAAAAAGATTATGATGAAGGTCAGCAGAGCAGTGAAAAAGAAGTGCTTGAAAAGCTATTTAAGGTGAAGGATAATGCCACGGTGAACTTGTTTCGAAATGAGTTAATCCCAAAATGGGATAGTCTTTACTGTAATGTCAAGATACAAGCGAAAAATCAAAGAAATTTCTATTTTATATTCAGATTTCAGACTTATGTTGAAATATGTTGTTTGTTTTTCAGCAATATCAGGAAAATAATGTAGGCGTAGCATGTTTGTATTTGTAGCCTCAGGCCTCAGGTAACAAACGAATGTAGTAAGTGGGTCCTTTTCAACTCATTCACAACTAGCGAAACCCCACAAGTATAAATAATGTCTAAGATTGTGATTCATTTAATTGAATGGTGCAGGCATAAAGCAACGGCGCTGAATATTTTACTTATTATTGCGTAGGTCCATAGAGCACCTGTTCAACCTAATCTACAACATGACAATGACGATATTGTTCAGAAATCTGAGCGCTTTTGTTCCTCTTGGGGAAATAAAAGGAAGATCCTTGTACAGGGTTGATGTCGTTAAGCTTGTATGAACTTTACCACCAAAATAGTATTTAAGCAGTACTACATAACAATGCTCACAAACAGCGAACATTTTATCAGTTATGGTAAATTGGCTCATTATGGGTCTTACTAGAGGCGTGGGTTTACACGCTGATTAACGAGCATTATGAAACTAACCCTGCCATTGGATAAAATGCCAACCAGAATTTAAATGACTTTCCGTAATGTGGGACTAGCAGGATGGATAGGCTGTGGCACCTTAATGTTCCTCATTTGTATATTTGTAGCAGGGCTGGAGGTGAAGAATGGCATGTTGTTTTTCATTCGTCAGTGTTTACAGAATCCCCACATTTACCGCAAGTGAGACATTTTTTGAGCAACAGCTCCCTCTGTTGGCTGATTAGGGAAAGTACTATTTTTTCAAAATTTCCTGTGATTGACACTGTAGTAAGTGCTGCTGCCCTATATTAGGTTTAATACAGACTTTAAATGTCAGTATTTATTTTTTTACTCTAAAGATGCTTTTCTCTTGGGGACTTTGACAAAATAAAATACATTTTGAGAAACGAAATTTAGGTATAACATTTTTAGAAGAAGTAATTGAATCAAATATATGCTCATTTACAGCAAACTACAGAGATTTTATATAGTTTCCTATTTTAATTGTTGTCCTGTTGCTATCTTAAGAATAACAAACAGGACACTCTATTGATTTGTCTGTTAGTATAGCTTCTTTTATTCATGAGGGGTCACCACAGTGGATGGTTCCACATTTTTTAATCAGCATTTTTTTTTCCTGAAACCAGTGAGCTTTTAGATTTGGCTAATGTGCTAACTACTAAACCATGGAGTCTCTGATTTGCTTCTTAATGCACTATATTATATATTATGACTCAATCTGAAGCAAAATGAACTGCCTTATGTGAAAGGCGCAGACAATAACACACATTTCTGCGTTCGTTTTTGAAAAATCGAGTACAGCCACAATGAGTGTTTTTATTTACCATGCTCTACAAAATAAACAGGGGCAATGTGCAGTGTGCG